AAATCAATGCGCCATCTTAGGGTTTATAGTTTATGATTTAGATAATTAGGACCTAGGGTTCACTCATTAAGGGGTTAGGGTATAGTATCATGCCCAAAAATCTTGTTAATTCGAGGTCTAGATAGCGTTTTCATACTCAAGGTATGCGGTACCCCGGATTTCACCCGGGGTATCGTAGAAGGCACCATATATATATATATATTCAAAAATGACTATTAGGTGGTACTTTGATATTTTAACTTAGATGTTTTGGGTAAAAACATTGTTCAAATGGAATAGTGTGTATGTAACATTCGGTGGCACATTGAGGCCTTGTTTGCTTAATGGATTTTATCATGGATTTGGTACATAAAAATCAATCATCATGTACTTTGTACGAAATTCATCATTTATTTTATAGATTTAGCAGGAATAAATTCGTGGGGCCCACAGTTTTGTAGGGCAAAAATTCATGGACCCCATAGACTTCGAAATTCCACCGCAAAGGGTGAGATTTGTGGATGTCTCAAGTCCATATACTTATTTACTATTTTATCCTCATTTTGTTGGCAAAGAACCTTCCATAGCTTGAGATCATCTGCAAAACACAAATGATTGAGAGCCACCTTGCTGCACATCGGGTGGAACGGCAAAGAACCCGCCATAGCTTCCCTATAAAGCAATCCCGAGAGTCCCTCCATAGCTAAACAGAACAAGTACAGAGACAAGGGATCTCCCTGCCTCACCCCCTTATGCGCTTTAAAGAAGCCACAAAGACCCCCATTCAAGCTAATACTGAAGTGGACAGTAGACAAGCAAACCCTAATCCACTCAATGTACTGCATAGGGAATCCCATAAACCTCATAACCTTAAGCAAGTAATCTCAATGCACAGAGTCAAAAGCTTTCATAACATCTACCTTTATGGCTGATCTAGAAGAAAGTTGCTTCTTATTATACCCACTAACAAGTTCCTGAGCAAGCAAAATGTTATCCATTATTCTTCTCCCCGGTATAAACGCTGTTTGATTAGGGCTAATCACTTGATGCATAACCTCTTTCAACCTATTTGCCAACAACTTTGACACAAGAAATGGGCCAGAAATCTTTCAGCTTTTCTGCATTATGGATTTTAGGAATCAATGAAACTGCAGTAGCATTTATACCACTCAACATACGACCCGAGACAAAGAAATCCAGAATACCAGCTATGATGTCATTCCCAATTATATGCCAGGTGCGCTTAAAGAATCCCGCCGAGAATCCATCTAGACTAGGTGCTTTGGAGCTATTAAGGTGAAAGAACACCTCCTTAATATCCTCCTGCTGAAAGGGATCGAGCACATAACATCCGAACAGCTTTTGAAATAAGGAGCCCCTTAATAAGTGGCCTAAGCACATCTTCATCCGCCTGCACCTCCTCATTTATCCTACCAAAGAGCTTTTGATAAAAAGATACTGCCTCATCAGCAATCCGATCCACCTCCACCACCTCCTCTCCTGTTTCTATAACTAGTTTCCTAATAGCCTTCTTGGAGTTCCTAATTTTGACAGCTTGATGGAAAAATGGAGTGCCCTTATCCCCTTTAGTCAACCAATCCACTCGTAACTTCTGCCAATAAAAGCTCTCCTCCTGCCGCGCAACACATCATACTGCTTTTGCATCTCAGATCTTGCCTTTAACGTATCCTCATCAGGAGAGTCAAGTGATTTTTTTACGAGTGTCATTAATTGTTGCTCCATTACCTTGACCTGCTCACTGATGTTACTAATACATCCTTATTCAGTTTACGAAGGGCCTTTTTAACAGCTTTAAGCTTGCACTGCACTCTATACCAAGGGCACCCCTGAACTGGTACACTCCATGCTTCCTCCACAATTTTGAGAAAATCAGGGTGAGATTCCCAAAATTCAAAGTATTTAAACGCCTTTGGCAAAGACTTAACAACCTGAGTAGTAGCCACATAAATACCACAGTGATCAGTAAAGGGGGCCACAATCGCTTCCATCATACAGTTTGGAAAGTTGTCTATCCACTCAAGATTAACCATTGCCTTGTCCAGCCTCCTAGCTATAGGATTCTCTTGCTGATTATTAACCCAAGTAAACCAGGGTCCAATAGTATGATCAACCAACTCCACATCGTTTATCCAGTTCTCAAAATCAGACATACTAAAAGTTTTAACTTGCACATTAGATGTTTCAATCGGGTGCACCAAGCAATGAAATTCCCCCCATCCCCACTATCCAGGGCCTATGAACCACCTTATAACTCATTATCTACCAGTAAGTACTTCTTCGCTCCACTTCCTCATCCGAACCATAAACGACAGTTAATAAAAATGGAATTTTGTCATCACCCTGAACCAGAGCACGTACAAAGTTCTTTCCAGCTTTGATAACCTGGAAAGTAACTTCAGGCAGCCAGAAGATCCAAACACGCCCCAGTTCAGAATCAACATAATTCAAACAGCGTTCCCAGCCAATAAAACAATCTGCCAGTACCTTATCCTGCTTACACTTCCTTACCCTTGTTTCCAAAACTGCTACTACCTCCACCTGCCTCAACCTCAGGACTCTCATCAAGTCCCGTCTCTTAGAGGGTTTGTTAAACCCCTTAATATTCCAAAAGAGGATATTCATCCCGAAGACACGGGCTGCCGCCCTTTCTTCTTCCCAATTTTCAAAGTAGCATCCTACAAACTAGTAATCTCACACTCCCCCAAATCGCTAAGAACTTGAAATGGAGAATGAGTCTGTTGCAGTACACTAATAGGACTTCTTGGTAAAGACTGAGAATGCGGCTTAACGCCATTTGTAACCTTTTGAAAATCAGCCTCAGATGGAAGTCTCGGTGAATCAGTGACAACCACAGCTTGGAAAGAGTCTTCGAGATTGACCCCAAACAATTTTATAGGAGATTTATAAGCAACTACATTCGAGCCAATTAGCAATAGAGTCTCCTCGTTCTGCTGCTCAGTCTGCTCCCCCTCGACTTGCACTATCCCCGCACTCTTCTCTACCTAGGATACCTGAGAAACTTCTCGTCGCCTCCATACCTGCTTCATTGGCTGACCCCCACAGTCACAATGACCAAACATGACACACTTAGAGCAAACCTCAGGCAAGTGACAGTAGCTGACCCCCACCCGAATCCGGGAACCCTCATCCGGATGCAACATTACATGATCTGGAAAACCCCATCCGAAAGCAATTCCACCAAGACCCTAACATATCCCATTCTAGCACCTCGTCTGGTAGTGTGATCTACTCCCAATGGCGTGCCAACCCAGCTTGCAATATGACTAAGCCCCGGAGAGTCGATGTACTCCAGAGGTAAATTCGCGAGACGCACCCAGATCGGAAGCGCTCTGCGACCCAAGTCCTCGACACTGATTCCAGGGACCCAAGGCCGAAGATAAATCATATTTTCATAGTAGAACCACGGCCCATTATTCAGAATCCAGTCACACGTAGCTTGAGAAGGCAGTTGGATCAAAATCAGTTGATCAGTCAGTAGAGAAACCCTAACAGTGCCATCCCGCCCCCAAAGTCGATTTGCCCATCTACGCATAACAATTAGAGAAGGAGGAGATTGGAGTAATTGACCCACCAGACAATGCTTCCAGCAAGACGCCCCCGCCTCCTTCAACTCTTTCAGCATGCGAAGCCCTCCATTAACCACTTCAGGCTTCACATAACACAGGCGATTCTCTTCTTGAATTCTAAACAGCTGCGCCGATGGTCTTGAGGGCTGGCCCCCCGTCACCAACAAGCTCGACGCACCACTCATCGAATCAGGTAAAGAAGATGCGCCGGCGCAGATGCCGACGCAATCCAATAGGACCGGCGATGCCCGACACCTAAAGGATCGAACAGATGGAAGAGGTTTTCTCTCACTGGGTTTTCTCTCACCATTATGTACCAACTTTGTTATATATAAATATGGTATTTTATTATAATTCAATTTAATTTATCTAATTAAATGGATCACATGTGACACGACCGAGAATCTTCCACGTAAAACTTATTTATATGAAATTATTTATTTGTTAGGCTCTTGTGTTGTTCGCAACAAAATTATATGGTTGTGTTAAACTTTCATCACCACAAAAATTAGTCACCTAAAATAATACTATTGGTTGGCATAGGAATTTTTTACAACCAAATTTTATGGTTGTCTAACAATTCTATAACAAAAATAATTAGTCGTATAAAATGATATAATTGGTCGGCATATGTGTTTTTCACAACCAAATTTTATGGTTGTGTTAAACTTTCACAACCAAAACTATTGGTCGTTATAATGATATTGTTAGTTACTAACAGCCAAATAAATTGGTTGTCATTATTATTTATGGCGACCAATCATTGACATTCCTCAACCAATATTGTGAACAATGACAACCAAATTAATATGGTCGCAAAAAAAATCAAGAATTTTTACCATTGCCAAAATTGGTTGCGATAGCTTTATTTTTCGCTACCAATCATAATTTTGGTTGCTGTAGGAATTCGTAACGCGGCTATAGCGACCAACTCTGCTACCAAAAGATTTTGGTTGTGAAGAAGTTTTAATAACTAATTTTATACTTTTAGCGCCCAAATATGTTGGTTGCAAAAATCCTTTTTCTTGTAGTGTTAATTTGTTTTTAGTTTACAAGCAGTTCTGTTTTTGTACTTAAATAGTAGAGAATTGATCGGTATATAATGTTTATGTGCGATGGTTACTTTAGGTGGATTATATATTTGACAGTCTTGTGTGATTAATTGAGAGACGAGGTTGCCTACAAAATTAGCTGATATTATTGCTTAAAAATCCAAGTTAGGTGGATGAACGTACAAAAGCTAATATTTTGGAACAATTATAAAACCCACATGAAAAACTATGACAGGTACTTGAATGTTGTACCATTTCTTATTGGCAGGAGTTGTTCAAAGAAACAGTACCGCCCTTTAGAAAGATGCCACAAGAATCTCAAATAGCATATATACATGCTAAGTGCCTAAACAAAACAGGGATGGAATGCTTGCTTTTATTGAGATCACAACAACAAGTACATGAAAACAGGAGTACGTAGGTAGGTAGTAGCAGAGAAACACCAGGAAAAGGAAATAATTAAAGGAAACGCGCGAGAAAACAAACATAAGAGCATTTAACATGGGTACGTATTAGAGCAACACGCGATCGAGAAAACAAACAGAAGAGCAAGCAAAGGAGCAACAGCGAGTGGCTTGCATGCGCATTCACATCAAATCCCAAACAGCAAGCAAGCAAGCGGCTGGCCGGCATCAAGCCGATGATGAAGTTAAGCGGAGGGTGGCGGCCTGTTGGGCAGTGGCTCCTCTTTGGTCTGATACTGGTAGTTGTAGCTGTTAACCCCAGTGTAGACCCCGTCGTCCTTCTGGTACGTAACCGGTGTGCCGTCGAACAGAAGGTCCCTCTGAGTGTAGGAAAACGGGACGTCACAGGTACCTTGTGTCGCCACCAGGCTCACCTTCATCTTACTGTAGGGACTCACCGTCGCATCATACTGGTTGGACAGCGTGTTGGAGGTTTCGTCCTGTTCACCCCAGGTGACGGAGTGGGACTCCTCCGCCGAGACCTCAATGGAGGCCTCCCCGATAAAGGGGATGCCACATGTCAGCGAAGCAGTGACTCCGAGCTGGACGGTGACGTTGTCTTCCCACTGGGTGCTTTTGGTGTCCGTGTGCGTCAGCGTCAGCGTGTTGGTCACCGGGTTGGGGCTGTCGTTGGTGGTGTCCTCCGTGGCCGCGGTGATGATCTTCTGGTTGTAGATTCGTGCATCAAGAAGGCGATACTGTACGTCGTAAATCTCCCTGGATAGCACCTGCTCCTCCACCTGGAGTCTCGCCTCGTGGGTGATGGTGGGAACCCCAGCTTCAAGGAACAAGCCTTGCTCCGTGCTTGCGTCCCGCCTGCAGAACATGTTGTTGACCTGGTGGCGCAGAGCGATGACGTTCTTGTCTAGTTTGACAGGCCACAACAGTGTGCTCGGGTTGTTGTCAGGATTGTCGCGGCGCTCCGCATAAATCATAGAGGGATAGAACGGCGGGAAGCGTTCTGTTCCCAACCTGCACCATCACACACACATTAATGTATATAAAACACAAGTTTGGTTAGTGTTGCTAAAAAAAATTATATTTTGATACCCCAAATTTTATTTTATTGTAAAATTATTGAACAACTATGTTTTGGTAACTTATTTAGTACATTTACGGAGTACTAAACAAACTTCTGCTAACTACTTGTAACAAGAAATGCGACATCTACATAAGCAAAGTGTCAATAAATTGCTACGGTGAAAAGGGTTGACTGTTGTATAGACGACCAACTAAAAGAATCGGACAAAACCTTTCCATCATCTACTTCCTCTTCGTTTCATTTTTCACTCGCATTCCATAACCATTTCTTTATTTCTTTCTTTGCCTTCTTTGTCTAACCCTAATTATGATACTCTTTTTATGTAATCCAATCACATGTATGAACGGGTCCATACACGACTCACCAACAGTCTAGAGAACTAGTAATTGAACCATGAACCACTAACTTTTTTCCAGCTCAATGTCGTGTCCAATTAAAAATAAATATATATGGTTATTACATATTAGAAATTCGTCATTTTTCACTATTGGATTTGAAGGCATGAAATTTTAAGCGAGTTCCAGTTTGTATTCCTTTTGCTTCTCTCTAAAGTTTTTATTTTTCACTAGGACTAGAATTTTCAATAATTATACATTGAATGTTTGGGGGTGTAATCCCAATTTGGGGATTATCACCACCAAAATTGAGCACCTAAATTCTTTGTCTATAACATTTTGGTACCTAAAATTTTTAATTTCTACAAATAGGTCTAATTGTTGTACGTGTAATTAAAACACCCTCGAATAGATGGGTATCCATAGCCAACTCATACATATTTAGATTATAGAAATAAATATACATATCCTACCCAAACCATCTATAAACTTCCAATAAATATACATATTTAGAAATAAATATACATACTCTACCCATGATCAAAAGGAATACTTGGGTTTAGGTAAATATCATTTACTAGCCAAAATTTTCTAACAAAAATTAAATTGGATGTTGACCGCCATATATCTCTTCTCAGTCAATTTACTAACAAAATTGCTAACAAAAAATTGATTTTAGGCTAATAATACTAACAAAACACCATAACGAGCCACATAATACATGCCCATAGGTCATCTCCGCCCGCGACAAGGCGCGGCATCGCCACCTAGTATATATATAAATACGAAGTGGATCAGAACGAACATTGAATGGTAGCATATATATGATTTTACTGTACCTTAGGTAAAACCAAGGATATGACACACCCGAGTAAAAAAAATACTATATAGACCTCGAATTGATCGAAGTTTGACATCTGGTACTATTCTCAAACCCTTAGAGATTAAAATCTAGTTCTTAATTCTCTAAATCTCATACAAAAGATCAATTTAATTAGAAACAAAAATTGACGGTTATGATTCGTCGAGATATAGCAAAATTACATGCACAATCTTAGGGGTTAGGCTCTATGATTTAGAAAACTAAAACCTAGCGTTCACTCATAAATGGTTAGAGTATAGTATCATGCCCAAAAATCTGGTTAATTCGAGGTATAGATACCGTTTTTTTTACTCGTCGTACCCTAGATCTTGCCCAAGGTACAATAGAAGCCATCATATATGCAGGGGCGGACCCACCTTATGGATAGGTGTCAAGTAGGGATGGCAATGGGGTGGGTTTGCTTAAACCATCCCCATACCCATCTTCAAATATCCAAATCCATACCCGCCCCATACCCATGCGGGAGAATGTTTTGCAAACCCATCCCCATACCCGTGGGTTTCGGGTACCCATGGGTAATACCCATACCCGTAATCCAACATTATTATACCTAAAACTTACAAGAAAAGTTCTAATTATAACTCTAAACTAACATATTATATCATGAAGTCAACAAAACACGGTCATTTTTTAATATGGTTCAAAGATTATGATCCTAAAATATCCATTAATACATAATATAGAGTATAATATTTTTTCAAATTATACTGTTCTAACTCTGATACATCTACTAAATAATAATTAACTAACATAATCTTGTTGACAAGGGGGAAAGTGAAAGAGTGAAATGAGGATTGAGAGAAATGAATTAGATTTTGATTAAGGTGGTCACTCAATTGCATTTCTACTATTTATTTTCTCAAGTTATCCTCATCATCATTGATAGATTATAATTTGATGCACATATTTTTTTTTATATATGAAGAAATTATCTTGGTGGGGTGGGTATGGGGATGGGTATGGGGCGGGGGAGGCTAAAACCGTACCCGCCCCTTACCCATCAAACTTTTTGCGGGTTTTAACCATACCCGCCCCATACCCGGTCAAAGCGGGGATTCCCCGCTTTGACTGGGTCGAGGGAGGTCGGATACCCGCGGCCATGAGTTTGATTGCCATCCCTAGTGTCAAGGGACACACCTCCAGATTGTGACGGTATAAAAAATTCAAACATAGAGCTTCCGACACACCTTCGAAAATTGTAACCGACACACGTTTATTATGTTAATTACAAAATAATTTGTTGTCTTAAATTTATTAAAATATGTAACTATAAGAGTTATTAGCTTTCAAATTTTACAATTAGTTGGTTATATGTAAATGTGTACTTAGTACATAATGAGTATTTAGAGAGATAATTATTAGTTTAGAGATAACCTTGGTTATTCGAATGAGAATTAAATTGATTACTAAAAGGATTGAGTCAAATAAATAGATAGTAAATTCCAGGTCGTCTTTCTCCATAGCTTCTTTTAGTCAATTTTTCTAATAGTTAATTTCCAACTTTCTTACTAGTTTAGTTATTGCATTAGATTTAATTTATTGTTTTATACAGAATCATTTTTTATTTTCGGCTCCTTAATTTTATTCATTAAATCTACAGTTGTGCGATCCATGTATATACTTATCTTTATTACATGCTCGGTAATTTACATACATAAAAAAATGTTTGATTTGTAACACAACCACAAATGAAATTAATAAACCTTAAAATTCGCAGTGGTTCATAATAATAAAAACAAAAACAATGAAGTTGTTAAGTTTATCAATACAAATTTTTTATGTTAATTTTTAATTAATTAAATTTTCACACACCTATCCAATAATTCTGGGTGGACCACTATATATATAGATAAAAATATATAATTGATGCACTACGTACGTACGTACTAATACGTACCACCAATAATTTTGGTTCCCAGTGGCGAAGATCTGAATGGCCCCATCTGGGGTGGTGAACACCTGATGCCCTACATACGGATCGCCAATGTCGTTGCCGGAGAACTCAAGAATCGAGTTCCGATTTGCGGTCGGCTCGCCAACACGGAGGTACAACCCGTTGTCGCCCTTAAACACCACGTGCTGAGGCAGCACCACGAGCGCTTCCCGATCCACCACCTCGCACACGTCGAAGAGGTCTTTGTTGGGCGTTGCCGCTCCGGCGAAGAGGAAGAAGGTGTAAGGATGTGCGCCGGCGAAGAGGCAGGCGTAGTGTTTGAGCTGGACGTGGAGGAAGCGGACGAGGAGGGCTTGGTCGTCGGCCTCCACCTTGATGGGCTTGAAGAGCGTGCACGACCACTTGGACTGGTCCTCTTCGGGGCTGTCGGCCGCGGCGGCGATCCAGTCGTTGGTGGATTTCCATCTCCTCCAGTACTTGTTGTTGGAGGCGCATCGGATGTGGACCAGTCCTTCCGTTGTCTTGGAGGCTTCCACGTTGAACTTGGCCAGAGGGCTCGCGGCTTCCTTCCCCGTGAACTGGAGGAGGCCTTGCTGTCCGCCTTCTTCGTTTGTGTAGCGCAGGAAAGTGTGCGTGTTCTTGTTCTTCAGCACCACGGTTCTTGGCAACCCCAGCGGAAGCTCCACCGACGACGCCATTGTTATTATCTCCAAAAGAAAGAAAAAAATCGATGGGATGCGATTGGTTTAATACTCTCCGCAGCCCTCCTATTTATACTACTCACTCATGCATGCAAATAAGAAGAAAAAATCGTCTGTGCTATTTAATTTAGGGTAATTAAACATTGCATGCGAATCACAACGTTGGCGTCAACATCACCACCCATTATCATATATCCAAGGTCCCTATAGCTAGTAGCTAGTTAATTAATTATTACTCATTATGGATAATAATGTCCAATGCCCGGTCGCCTCAGGAAGGAAACCATAGGATAGGAAAGCAACCAAATTAAATATAATAAAGCAATGCAAATTAATACTTTAATAATGGCTGTCATATATAGAAAATCTTGTGGCGTATCCAGCATATGGCCCGGCTGCTGCATCTCAACTTGTGCAAAAATCATGTTCATCACAAAACGTATCCATCTCCCGTTGAACCGGTAGCTTTCGAACCTTTTTTTATTTTATTTTAATATTACACTTGGATGGACGGAAGTCAGGATGCGATCCAGGTTTTTAGATTATCAATGGACTGATAGATGTGTTTGTAAAACCGTATCGTATTTGTGGTTGACAACAGAAATGTGTTATCGGAATCTAAATTGGTAAGCGTTTACTCTAACGTGAAATGGTTGAACCGCGGTTTCAACACAAACTATTATACCGTTGATTTTTTTGGTATGGTTTCTCGATCTGTAATTGATAGATCTAAAAATGCATTGATGATTTTATCGACAAAAAAAATACATGGATTGGATATTTTTTTAGGTTTTTACCAGTTATGTGGGTTGCCCGTCAAGTTGAATGGTCAACACTATTAGTGAATCCGCATATATTGGTAACTAGCTTTTAACCCGGCCAGTTGGCCGGAACTTTTATAATTTTAATTTTTAGTAAATTGCACTTTCGGTTGGTAAATGCAATAATAAAATGGTTCTCATATAATTTTTACTATAGTATATCATAATCATTTTCGAAGTTAACTTAGATTATGAAAGTTAAATTAGTATTTGACAATAAAAATAAATAGTCTTATAAAACAATTCATTCATACAATCACATCATAAACAAAACTCTCAAACAAAATAAATATTTTACCATTAATCCTTAACTCTCAACTCAATCTTTTCCAAAGAACACATTAGTTTTTAGGTTATGTAGTCATTAGCCACCGATTGCCTACATATAATATATTAAGCTCAGAGCCCAAAATTTTGAGAAATCTAAATAAGAAAATGTTTCAAAAATAATTATGATAAATATTTTTAAAAATATATATTTACCTAATTTTCATCATAAATCTAAACCTCAAATTTGAATCCAAGTAAATATGTCTCTATTAGCTTATACATATTCTCTTTCAGCCTATACGATTAACCATATATCCTCAAGTCAATACATTGAAAATATATAGTCTAAACTATTAATTCCCTAATTCTTAACACTAAAATCCATTGTACAACATCATAGCCCAAAATATGCGAATATGCAATAATTAACATAATTGTTAGATTCAACTTAATAAATGTATGATTGTGGTGATTTCCTAGGAACTAAAGTGGGATTAATATCCTTTCAAGTAATTAATAAAGCTAATTTTGTCAACCATACATTTACTTACAACTTAATAAACCTCAAACCAAAAAAAATCTTCCTTTGCATAAAGTCACCTTCAAAACAAATCAATGGCAATTAAGAAGGCGAGTTTATACCTTGACATCTAGCTACACAAACTTCTTCAATATCTCTATCTCAAAGTTTGTGGCTATGAACACTAATGTAGTTGATTAATTCCAATCCTTGTAATCCAATAAATTCAACGTAGTTGTAATCACACACTGAAATAAACTTTTGCATATTTTAAAATAAAATTCGTTACGACATCACCTGTTACTTCAGGCACCTAAAACTATCATGTAAATTGATGCTATGCAAATGCCTTCATTATATAAATTTATACCATGATCGTACACAACTAATACTATGCTGGTATAATCTCATCCCCGCATTACCATTAGATCAACCCTTGGGATTTGATGACCACATGTTGAGGAGACTTAAAATATTTTATTTTAAAACATATCAAAAGTATCTTGGGTACATAACAAAAAATAAGATTTTATCACACAAAAATATTAGAATTCGGAATTAGAATAAATGAAATACAAACCGATAATTATAATCGGAGAATTAAAGAAAAAGTAAAAATATAAAGTAACATCTGTCACACTATGAAAAGATGATTGAAAAATTAAGAATATTACAAAAATAAAAATTAATTGTTATTATAATAAATAAATAAATAAATAATGCTAACCTAAAATTTGAAGTTTGGTGGGGTAACTTCGCCACGTTTAAAAATATTTTTTATATTAACCATTTTTCAATTATTAACTTTCTTAATTACCACTACACCCCTATCTAAAATTAAGGAGAGAACAAGAAATTTAAAATGGAGAAAAGTATACAAATGGAGAAAAGTATACAAAAGTGTAATATATTATTGGTGGAAGTGGAGGCCATGTAATATGCAAAAAATAATAAAATTAAAAAAAGAAGATTTTCCGACAAATTTTTCATTATTATTTGGATTAACAATTTGGACCAAACTTTACCATAATGGACAACTTTGGCCCAAACTTTGGGTTAACACCTGCCTCTCTATTACCATAGTGACAATTGTTCTCATCGCTTCTAGCGAGCTATAGAGACGAAGGATGGTGTGAATGATTTGGGAGGATAAGAGGGAGTAGAGAGGTGAAGAAGATAAGCTCGTTTTTTTAATTTAATAACTTTTTTCTGATTTCATAATTAAAATGAGATAACAATTTATTAACGAAAGGAAATGGATGTGCATTATTCATGGTCCATGAAAACGTACCGTACCAGCGGTTCAACCACGAAATATCAGTATTGGAGGTTAAACCGGTAGGCAATATTTAACGATACAACAGTTAAACTTTGATTAAACCATGGGTTTACCATAAAATACCTTACCAATTTTTCCCGGTACAGTCTCCGGTACGGTTTCATGGACCATGACATTATCATGTCTTCTTTTATGGTATCATGTCGTCTTCTTGTATGCACGACAAATTATTGAGACTCAGGAATATGAGTAATACATGGTCATGTGGTGCATACCAATTTTTTTATAATTAAAGTAAGGAATAAAACCACAATAAAATGCAAATTTTTAACGAAATTGTCATTTTTATAATTAACATTCTTTTCGATATGGTATTTGTTGTTTGATATCAAAATTGACCATTAATAAGTCATGTAGTGTAGACTAAATTTATCAACCCTAAGACTAGGATTGTATTTCCTTAGGCCCTCTGCCAGAATCCTTACATTGGTGACGAGGTTCGGTTCTATTTGAGTTGAAAACCATGTAGGAGGTTGAGGTGCAGAAAATTAAATCTAAAGTTAATGATGGATGGACGAGAGAGCAGAGAAGCAAGACGTTGCATCGGCAATCTCCCCCTAAGTCTCTTGTCACGTATCCCTAGATATCTGGCAACATACGAGCTGCCAGATGTCGAGGGATCGATACATAACTAGAAGAATCTGAAATAAAAGTGGATTATTTGCAAGTTTGGAGGCAACGCTTCGATTTAAAGAAGAAGGAAAAATGAAATAATTGGCGACGACTGAACAGACCCCTTAAAGCCGGGGATAGAAGCGAATTCCTTGCAAGTTTGAAGACAAGTTGAATTTCCGATTCTAAGTTTGGAGGCAAGTTGAATTTTCAATTCTTTTACATACCGTTTGGTATAAATGAATTCCATAAGTTTATTGGAATTCATTTTGAAATAAAACATTTTTGTGTTTGGTATTTAAAAGAATTCATTTTCAATTCTAAATTTGGAATTCTATGGAATTGGAACTGGTTATAGCAACTCCGAGGAATTGGATGGAATTTCCAAATGAATTCCACAAGTATTTACTAATTATAATAGAATGATATAATTATCTTCTTTTATTAACTAAATTACTTATACATATGACATACCAAACATATAAATTCATTTGACAATTAATTCTGCACGACAATTCATTTTATTTCTAAGGATTTGAGTATGACATACCAAACACAAGATTTCATTTGACAATGAATTCTACAAGTTAATTCATTTTAAAATGAAATGAATTCTCGATTCATTTGTTACCAAACGGTCTGTTAAGTTTGTTTTCCCCAGATTCATTCTCTAAATCCCAATTCTTTTCGCGTTTAGTTGATTTTACCTTTTCTTTATTTATTTGGGCAATGTGTATTTTATACCCAAACCTTTTCAAAATTCTTTTATTTTACCCAAACCTATCAAAATTCTATTTATTATCAAATCGTTTCCCCACCGTTAACTTTTCTGTTACATTTATTGACTCAGCAGCGTCAGAATGAGGTGGAATCCCACGTGGCGGTCTATTTATAATTAAAAAAAAAGAAAAAGGATTTGTAAAGTAAAATCATCGTGAGTAAAGTAAAAAAAAGCCATTCGATTCTTACCTTCCCAATTCCCATCCTCTTCGGGCTCCCCAGTTTCTCCCCTACTTTTCCATCGCCCGACGAAACATCATTCTCCAGCAGGTGAGGCAGTGAGCTCTACCGTCGCCTGTTAAACCTCCCCGCATCGACGATCCCAGCACCCAGCGTCGCGCTTCCATCTCCTCCCCGACGTGAGACCGAGAATCGAGCTGAAGCAAGCAACAGACTGTTGTTGAATTGTTGCAGAGAAAGCAAGCAAGGGACTGTCGCCGAAGCGCGCTTCCGTCTCTTCCGAACAGTTGTCTATGCTCGAGCAAGGTAAGATGGTTCTAGGTTTTCGATTCAAACCCTAATCCTTCTGAAATTTTGGTTCAAAGACGAAATCCCTTCTCCATATTCGAACCCTTTTACGAACCCTAACCTGTGATTTTGGTGTATTTTGATAGTGGTGTGGTTTTGTGGTTTCAAACCCTTAACCTAATTCAAACCTTTTGCTACAGATGACTGAATATATGAATCTCGATTTCCATCATAGAGGAGTGATGGATTTTTCTGGTGATTCCCTAAAGTATGTTGGAGGGTTTTTGGAGAAGTTCAAGGTGGATGTTGATGAAGTGTCCTACTTTGGGATTCTGTCTTTGTGCACTGGATACTTGAACTACTACGGAGTCCGGAAGATGTGGAACTTGACTCCTGGAGCCACAATGGCAGAGGGATTACACGAAATCAAGACCAACAAGGAAATCGTGGAGGGTCTGCCGGTTGATACAACGCAGACTAAGGAGGTCTCACTGTTTGTTGATTGTGTCGAGGCTGATGATGGTTTGATGGGTGACAATGACACTGCGGACAACATGGCAAGGCTTGAAAAAAATGAAGACTACTTTGAAGTGGGGGAAAATTCGGATGCTAAGGAGATAACGAATGTGGCTAACTCTAGTGATGAGGAGTCATCTGAGAAGCAGACTCATCTTCCAAAGGTCAACAATCCATATAGTGAAGCAGGGGAAGAAGTGGATCAGCCTATGGGAGATGCTGGTGACATAGACGAGGAAAAAGATGATGGAGACGAAAATGGAGGCTTTCCAAAGTTCACAAGAAGTAATGACCCCATTTACAGACTTTATGGATCAAGACCCCAAGACTTTTTGTGGTGCTTTCCTCTCTAGACTCCCAAAATCGGACTCTGTGGAAAGCAATATTTGTGAGAGCTGGAATAATGTCATTGTGAAGTCAAGGGAGTATCTGATAATTGCAATGTTAGAGGCCATTAGAGGGTACATTATGGTCCAAATGAGGAAGAAACGTAAGAAGTTTGAGAAGATGCAGTTAGTTATATGTCCAGCTGTCATGAGTACGATCACTGCAGAGGATTTGAAGGCTAGGATGTGTGTTGTTAGAGCTAGTTCTGATTTTGTTGCCGAGGTTAGTTATGGGGAAGCAACATATATTGTGAATTTGCAGGCTCGTAGTTGCACTTGTGGGGCATGGGATTTGAGTGTCATTCCTTGTTGCCATGCATTATCTCTGTCCTTGAGCCTGGGCCAAGGACAGAGTTGGACGACTTTGTGCACACTTCATTCCTCGTATCAAGTATCAACCGTTCAGAAGACATATTCTGGTAGCGTACCTGTTGGTAGGGCAACAGGCATGGCCAGCTGCTGATGGTTATCTAGTTCACCCTCCCATTTACAAGAAAATGCTGGGACGTCCGGAGAAGAAAAGAAGAAAGGAGGCAGGTGAATTGGACATGACTTTGCACAGGAATGGAAGGCCTACTGGTACAGCATCCAAAAGAATGGGAATGGTGATGCATTGCACCAATTGTGGGGCTGCTAGGCACAATTCCAGAAAATGCCCCAACCCTCCTCGCGATGCTGCTGACCATGGTACTGGAGGGAGAGGCAGGGGGAGAGGAAGAGGGCAGCAACATGGTGGCTCAAACCCACCTAAGGTACAACTCTAACCAGACTTACATCCACAAATGTTTGATATACTTTGACACTAACTTGCTTATTTGTTTTGAATAGAGGGTTCAACATTGTGGTGTATGCAAGTCAACAGAACACAATGCTAGGAAATGCCCAGATAATAGAGGAGCACAAGTAAGCATGCTTGATTTTAGTTTATCTTGTGTTAGAATGCATCACTCTTCACTGAATAATTCTGTTGATTGGTGTAGGCTGGAGCAGGTCAGCCTCTTCATAGGAACTTGGAGGTTGATAGAGAAGTGAGGGATGCTCTAGGTGGAGAGGCAATATATATTGATGTGGAAGTTGTAGCTGGTACATCTACGATTGGATTGGGAGCTCAAAAAACTGATTTTGATGATACTCAAGGGCCATCTACTCAGCCACCATCTCAGCCTCATGAATGAGCTTTATATAGTTGCTAGATAACTTGTGTAGGGTATGATGTTTATTTAGTTGGTAGATAACTTAGGTAGGGTATGAGATGATCAAATTGAATGATCTTTTGTGGTGACTCACTTTGTTCACCCTCTTTTGTATTTTGTAAAAGCTCGATTCATCTTGCAACATCTTTCACCATTCTAGTTGTGAATTTTAGGCAGTATGTTGTGTTAGCAGGGCATGATGAAACAGATTGAGCTTTTGTGGTGACTTAGGTCAGCCTTTTTGTATTTTGGAAAAGCTCGATTCATCTTGTACCCTCCTCTTTACTTATCAATGACAGAGGTGATGTCAATTAATACTATCGCAGATACATTAGTTTACCACAACAATCAATCTTACATTTGGTACTTGTTTGCCATAGCAGTCAAACTTACATTCTGAACTTAGTTTCCACAATCAAACTTACATTCTGAACTTGCTTGCCACAACAGTCAAACTCATTGAAATGTACATGATGTGACAAAAGCAATGACACAAATTACACAGACCATCAAGCTTCTTATCCTACTATCTAGACTACAAATCACATTGCTCAATATGCTCATCTTCGATATCATCCTTGCACAATCTTCTTTGGTCCTAAGCAATGAAACAAATTACACAGATCATCAAGCTTCTGACAACTTCCTATTCATTTCTTCATATTCAATAAGTTTTGCTAACAAGTCACCCCATGATATATTACTTATTTGCATTTCATACACATCCACCCATATGAAGAACCTGCAGTCTTCAGTCTAAAAAATCAAGAGTTAGGAATGGCAATGGCTATTTTAAATTTAGGTCAACAAGCAACAAAGCAAACCAAAATACATTACCTTCCAATATGGGCAGCAATAAAACTGCCTTCTGGGATTCCTAGAGGTACCAGACTTGTTCACAATGCACGGAACTTTGTGGTCGCAACGAGGCACTGAATCGTTATTTGCGTTGGTGGAGCTAGAAGAGCCCTCATTTGCAGATTCGTCCCTTGCGCATCCCTTCCTTGCAGAGCTCGACCTTGCATACATGATTCTTGCTTCTATTACGTATAACAGGAGAAACATCTCAATCAACAATCCAATTGAGATTCGGCACTACTGCTCAAACCCCAATGTCGAAGGGTAACTACATCTTACCTTGCGTGAGACAATGAGGGAAGAAATCGAGAACGACAGCGCAAGACTCGATTAGCGGCGGCGAGTCTTCGAACGGCGACGGCTAGACGTCGAATGGCGGTTGCAGGCTTTGAAGGCCGACGACGGAGGCTGCGAGGCTTTCAGCATTTGCAAGGCTTCGGACATGCCGACTGATGCTAAATCCTCACAGCAAAACCTTTATAGTTCCCATAATCTACATAAAATCTATATGCATCATCAACTGTATCGAACTCAAGCTTGTTCAGGAACTTCGAACATTAGGATCTATACCATCAAAACAAAAAACATAAAAAGAATGAAACATTAATTCTGTAAAAAATATAATACCACCGTAGTATAATATGGTAAAGTTTATTACATTGAGAAACTCTATAACGAAACAAAAGAATACTACACAAACCACCATGGTATTATTAGAAAAAATTATTCCAATCACGAACTATATACAGGAACATAAAACCACAGCAATTATAATAACAATCTATAACAAAGAAAACATAACACTCATATGCAAAAAATACCATAAAAACCCAGTATGTTATTTTATGGTATAACATGGTATTTTATGGTATAACATATATACAGAAACATAAAACCACAACAATTATAATAACAATCTAGAACAAATAAAACACAACACTCATATGCATAAAATACCATAAAATACCAGTATGGTATTTTATGGTATAACATGGTATTGTATGGTATAACATATATACAAATTTCAACTTACCAAACACATTTAAAATTCTTACCTCCTGATTCAACAACGCTATGAGAAGAACTAGATCCAGTATTAGATCCATTCAAGGGAACAATTATGCCTTGATTAAGATCACTCATTGCACAAAAAAAGCTGAGTCAACAGAGAAGATTCAAAAGATTCCTGCATAAAACATAAATTTAACTACAGATCAATCAACTGAACAAAAAAAAAAACGTAGACAAAACACAGAACGAAAAAAAACATGATCAAACGTATACAAACAGATCACCAAGAACAGAAAACAGAGAGCACAAAAGAGAAAACGCAGATAAATCATATATACACAAAATCAAAAACAAATTACAGAATGGAATCAATGCGAAACATAAAATCCTACTATAACTATAAATTACCTCGACGGAGACCAAACAACAAGCAGCCAAAAACTTCAACACAAGCAAATCACGCCAAAACCTCGAGCAAGAAGAAGAAAAGAGATGAAGAAAACCTAACAACTAATAACTTGCAAGTCCGCCGCCGATTAAGCTAAGAATCGCGTCCTCCACCGACCTTATCGCCATCGACTAATCCTTCAGAGAAAAACTCTCCATTGCTCTGTTTACTTCTCAATCTCTCTCATAAATCCAATTCCAGCTCGGCCGAAATAACTAAAAAGGTATAAAGAGGGAAAGAAATAAATTCAAATATTAGACAAAAATACCCTTGCCCCACCCCGCTCCGACCCCAGCCATTATATCTCCCCGTTCCAGATCGACGTCTTCTGTTGGGTTATTGACGGGTGCATAACCATGGATTATGCACCCTATCTTGAACCGTGTATTATGTCTCTTTAGACACGCGCCAGATTCAAATTTGAACCCGGCTTTTATATATTAGTACAATGGTCCGGCCCAAGTTGTCTTAAAGACAAAGGCCCATTGCATTAACAGAAGCCCAAAATACGCTCCAAAAGCCCATCACACAAACTGTATAGCCCATTGAAAGCAACGCAACAATATCCACCGTTTCGTTACTCCGGTGGTTTATTCATTCATAATCGGATCAGAATAAAGCAAACACAAAATGGCAGAAAATCACTGCAGCACATTCCACGTATAAAATTATTTTTAGACATATTAATTAGGGCTTGACGGCAAGGCCAGCCTTGAGCTTCTGAATGACACCAACATCCGTCTTGAACGACTTGGCCAAGACGGCGTCGTCGATGCCGGTGGCGAACAGCGTACCGGGAAGCGACACCGTGCCGGCGCTGGCACTCCCGAAAGCCGACAGCGCGATGGCGTAACTCGTCCCGGCGTTGTACTGGAAGTGGACGAGCCCCTTGGGGAAGACGAACATGTCGCCGACGTGGAGCGTCTGGGTGTAGAGCTTGCCGGCAGTGTCGACGAACCCGACCTGGAGCTCGCCGTCGACGACGAAGAGGAGCTCGGCGGCGCGTGGGTGGTGTGGGGAGGGTTGGCGGTCCCATTGGGGAAGAGGAGCGTGGCGTAGGAGACGCTCTGGCCGTTGAGGGCCGGGAACTCGGCCATGGTGGCCTTCACTACTTTGAACTTGTCGGCCGGGAGCTGGGTCCCGTTGACCAGCAAGCCGAAGCCGGTGAAGGTGAAGAACGAGCCGTCGACGGTGGCGTTTGGAGGGGCGATGAAGTCGGTGAGGATGTCGGGGTCGCCGGAGATGGCGGTTTGGATGATGATGGCGAAGGAAGCTACGAGGAGGAGGGAAATGAGCTTGACGTTAGCCATGACTGACGATGAAATACTAATTATTACTAGCTATGATTTAGGGTTTAGAATTTGGAGTTCAGCGCGAGCGATAATGCGAGGTTGTAGACGGGTTTTGCTACTACTTATATATGCATGCATGGGATGAACGAATGCAGCTTGTTGACATTGATCGATCAGAATGAATGGATGGATGGATGGAGATTACAAGGTAAGATTTGATGGTGGTGTTGTTTGCTGTTGTCGAAGGAGAAACCCATATAGGCATATAATATTCTTTAGGAATATGTTTCTCCTTGGTGAAATGAGGCAACAACATACTATCAAACCTTTAGAAAGCTCACCATCATTGGGATGAAACCTAGGGGTGTTTTCTGACTGTCATGTTGTAGCTCCTCTGTTTTTTGTTGTTATTGTTTACGAGAAGATGAAGTTGGGGTAAGTGATTGGAAGACGAGTGATCATTAATTTGCTCCAAGTATCAGGAATGTCAAAATCACTCAAAGTGTGAAGAGAATAACCTCAATCAGATTCAACCCATTGAACATATGTTGGTCAAATCCTCCGTGAAAACAAATTACTTTTCACTTTGATATTCATTAAAATTCGCTATGAGGTAGCTAGGTATATTTCATTTTTAACTTAAGTCGATATTTTGGGTAAGGGCAATACTTGGCTGCTACCCGGGTTGCAGCGCCATCCTGCATCCAACACACGTGTAGGCCATTCATTGGTTTCTTTTTTTATAGTTTTGTTTCTCAAATGTTGGCTTTTTTCATTTTGATTTTTAACGAGATTAATAATGAAGTAGATAATAATTTTTTTTAATTCCACCCAATATTTTAACATTCACACGTATACTAACATTACATAAGACGAAAAGTATAACAATAAATTACTAGAATGAAAAGGAGTAATTAAAACAACACAATTTCAAGAAAATATTATATTTGTATGCTAAATATAAAATATGTTAGAAAAAAATAATGATTATTTCTAGATAAAATACATATGCATGTATATAATTGGACGTGTTCGGGTTGGATAGTAAGAAAACCATACCCATCCATTTCCACAATATTGAGGTTCGAATTTTACTTGTACCCACTAAAAATCTTTCGGATTTGGGTTTTACCCTACCTAATTAGGCCGGATTCAGACAGATATCCAAAGTTACGAATATTTTTGCCATCCCTAATCACGATAGTATGGAAATATACAATATTCGGACGGTACCCTAGTTACAACTCAATAAGAACGTTAATTCAATTATTGTATTAAACTCTCAATAATTCAAGATTCCAGGACAAATTAAAAAAATTCTCTAGCCATATAAACGACTTCTGTCACTTACCATTAGCAACTCTGGGAAATTAAAATGAAGGACAGCAATTAAGTAAGTAACATACAAACACTAAACAGACCAATAATATACCAAGCGTGTGTTGGATGCAGGAAAGCGCTGCAACCCGGGTAGCAGCCAAGTATTGCCCTTTGGGTAAAAACATTGTTGGAATGGAAAAGTGTCTATGTATCATTCGGTGGCGCATTGAGGAATTTAATTTAGGCAGGTCTAACATAAAATAAAATAACGCATTTGGCATATCAAGGTAGGGACACCAGACGGCGAGACGTAATGCGGTGATTCTCTAGTATTATGTGTTTGAGATAAGGATAGAAATAGAGAGCTTGTATGAGTTAAGGACAGTGGCGGACCCAGGATTGTTAAAGAGGGGTGTCGTCAATAAAAAATTATAATTAATAAATAAAGAAAATTTTAATAGAAATTACTGTAAATTCATTTATAAGTTGACAACGTCATGTTTACTACGAATTATGACGATTTTTTATATACTGAATTTTTTTAAAATACATTCATCGTATATGTTGCAAATCAAACATTTTTCAATATACATAACCACATAGTCATTCATAAATTAGTCACTCAATCAAAGAGAATCGACCCACGTCTAAAATAAAAGTTAAAATAAATTAGTTTACAATCAAATATAGTAAACCACGATCTACCAATTGACATTTTAGACAAAACAAAGTATGCCTAAAGTAATATCATTAGCATTTTTTTCCTCTAGTTCCACCAAATTAACCAAAATCAAACCACAATCTCCCATAAATCTACGAAATTCACCTATTAACTACAAATTGACAAGTTAAATTGGTTTATGGGTTACTTCAAACAAGCATGCTTATTTGATTTTACTTATTATTGTTAATTACTAATTATGATGAATAAATTTATAACATTAAAACTATTGTCGTATAATGAAGTTGTGTCGCTTATAATTATTAGAGCGGTGTCGAAAGTCTCAAATTAAATTTTTTTATACCGATAAAATGAAGGCCCTTCACAAAATTTTCGGACCCAAGCCCTAGGTCCGCCCCTGGTTAAGGATAGAAGTAGAGAACTTATATAAGTTAATGATGGGATAAGGTTCTGAGGATGAAAGCGAGAACGACTTTCATCTAAGGAAAAGAAATCATAATAACGTGTTAGTAAGGATTTTCTTAGGGAAAAGACCTTAGAAAGTAACGACGAAACTGACTCCTTCTCACTCACCATGATTCGTCACTTATCCGATTTTGAAATGTGTTCTTCATGGATTCCATAACAAAAAAAAATATTTTTCAACACTTGTAGTGGTGACAGGTAGTAACAATGCAAATTTCAGAAATTGTTATACTAACAATAATCAAAAACATCTGATGCTTTCTTGACACAAACATTTTCCTAAAAATCTCAACAATTCTCTTTAATCCTGCAAACTTCTCAACTATCTTCATATCAAATATATCATCATTTAGATGTTTATATATTTGGTGGGCAATACTAGTTAAGCAATGATTTCTGAAATTGGCATGTCTTGAGTTTGATATTCATTGCCAACAAGTAGCTAGTACATTAATCGTAACATGTTTTGCATTGAATTTAAAAGCATATGCAATCTAGCTGAAACGGTATGAGTTCAATATGTCGTCTTAGATCTTCTTGAATTTTATATGCCTCATGACGATAGCTTTACATACAAACTCAATCATTACATGTAGGTCATAAATTCCGTGTACATCACAATTTCGATGCATATTAATTAGAGGCTCTAAGACCTCTTTGACATTGTGAAAGATAAATTATTTGAAAATGTACCCACCACCATCTTCTTTAGGGCACGTTGTGTTATTGATAAGGATATTCAAATGAATAAATAAAAGAAAGGACAGCTAAATGATGCAACAGATCAATATAGTACTCAAATGGAAAAACATGATCAAGGCGATCGACGATATATGTGTACGGTCAATTGCTTGAGTCTTGAACGCAGAGAACGCCAGCGCCGACTCTCCCCCGGCGTTGTACAGCTTCGTCCTGGTGTGAGTGTGAATGGAAATCTATACATAATATAATACACCGAACGGAAAAATAGGAGCCCCATTTCAAATTTCCTGCAACGAGAGTGAAAGTAGGAAGGACATTTTGGTCTTCACACTTACTTTTTTTAATTCATTAAAAAGACACGTAGTGGGATTCGAACCATGACCATTTTAAGGAAAAGTAAGGATCATAACCAATTACACTAAGTACATTTGTTGCATTTTTTTAAATTAAAAAGATATAATAGCAGAGAGGAAAAAACCCTTCCCCCATTTCAAATTTCCTGCTCTAGGAGCGTTTGTAGGAATGATAGAATAGGGAGTGTCAATTTTTTCCTCTTTCCTCTGTGGAACGGGCCAACTTACCGTACACATGCGGATTTAAACGGGTTCAAGAGTGTCAATTTTTTCATTAAGCCCTTTTATTTCTCCGTGGTGATAAAATATATATGAAGAGGCAAAAACAATACTTCTTTTTATTGCTAAAAATAAAAAAATTTAACAATAAACTAATGCATGGTATCTAATGGGCTAACCGCTAACCATAAAATAAAAGAGTTGAATTGGTTTGACCTACACGGGATTTGGCCATCAAGTAAAACAAATGAACATCATTGGTTTGACATTCTAAAACAAGCTATTTTCTCTGGCATAATATATTATGCTATTATTTTATATCTTAGTGGCTAAAATATAATGTATTTTAAAGTTATTCAACGGTTCAACCTCGACCAACCCAATTAGTCCAATTTTTATCATTTCAAATATATATTATATAATTATTTGATATCATAATGATCAAATCATAGTGTATTTTATAGGGAATCGTTTGGTATTTGTTAGTATAAAACTAAACAGAAAGATCTATTTGGTTATTTTAAACATTAAAACGATCCTAACATTTTCAGTTCCTTTCGAATTTCTATGGTTTTATTCCCGAATAAGTGATGTGCAAATGGCAGTCATCTCTTTTCTTTCACTATTTTTTATTTTCAAATAAAAAGTTTAAAAGTAAAGAATAATTGAGAATTTGGCATGGGTCGGTCAAACAGGATGCATTTCAAGTTTTGGCCCCTTTTGATCAAGTCTAATTTATAATCACATGGTTCCCTGATACCCGATAAAAATCTCAATCCAAACCAGTTTGGCAGGTGAGTCCGTGTTTACCACCATTTTCTAGGGATACGACAACGACGGTTCCTATCCCAAATCGTGTTGTTCGTTCTTGATTTCCTTAGATTTTATCATAGCCTGAAAAAAAAAACTAGAAAGCACAATGACGACAAGATGAAAGTTTTATAAACCAAATTAATCGGCCAACTGGCCGAGTAAAAGCTAGCAACGATTGTGAGATGCTCATTTCCCGAAAACCGACGGGATAGGCGATTTTTTATTCGATTTTATGGAATTCAGTTTCTATAAAACTTACTCCACCTCATCATATTACCAGAAACAATATTGTTTCACAAGGTAACAGGTACTTGATTTTGGTTCATAAGGCCGATTTTTGATTTGTTGCATCATTAATGTCTCTTTCCTGCTAAAATTCACTATTTTTATCACGTGTTTCCCAAAAAAACTATACAACAATAAGTTATACACCCCATTACATTATCAAATTCCATACCTCACCTTCCTCTAGGGATGGAAACAAAACCCGAACCCACGGGTACCCACCCGACCCAACTCGGTCAACGCGGGTAAAATCCGT